TATTACGGCATGAGAGTGGAAGCAGGAGATCCCCCTGCAATTGGATTGCTCTGCCTTCTGTTTTGAGGGTAAAGATCTTGCTTTTAAGTTGTGGCTAGTAACTCTCTGAACTTTCAGACAAGGCATCAAAGCTCTTAATGTATCAATATTCTAAACGTGAATGTTACTTTCATATTTCCTGCAGTAGGAGGGTATTTAATATTTTTCTGCCAGATTTTCATTCTGAGCTGACGCTAATCCAGATCCTCAAGAAATGCTTTGTTGTGGCAGAAAGCAATTTTCTGCTGTTTTTGGGCATGGTACTCTTCTTTAGAAAGAATCTTCCTAAATCTTAAGTGCTGTATGAGCGCAGTGATGTGTGCTGGGTTTTCTTTTTTTTTTAATAGTTAAAAAAATCCCCCACACACCTACATAAAACACCTTGAAATTTGTCCTCCAGTTAGTCTATGCAGTGGTGTGAAGTAGAAGTCAACCTTGACTTAGCTAGACTGGATCTTCCTTAGGGTGGGATGGAGACTGCATTCAGACAGAGACAGGGAGGACTGTAGGCAGTCTTTGCATGGGATTAGTACAATGTGTGGCCATGACTGTGCAGTACACCAGGCGTTGTGCAGCCCCCGTTGCTACTGTGACTCTCAGGCATGTGTGCTGCATCTCTCACTTGTATATGTATCCCTTCAAACTTCTTAGGATTGGCTGTGTGTAACTTGAGTGAAACTTTCCATCTTGGCAAGTGTTTATGGAATGAAGGGCCCATTGTATGAATCTGTTATGTCCTGACTGAATGAGGCTGTGCTCCACAGGAGCTCTAGCCTCATCGAGCGTGCAGTTTGGTTAAGGGCACAATGTTATGTTATGGCACATAGTTTGACTTTTTTTCCCCTTTGAGAAAGCAAAATTCCATATCCAAAAGCTGCACTGAAAAAGTAAGGCCAAGCACTCCCAGCTTGGATCTAATCCTCCATATCTACAGTGGAATAGGAAATAAAAGCTTGTAATGTGAATTATTCTTACCGTGTTAGTTATTATAATCTTAATTACATTATCTTGTACAACTTCCAAATGTCTTTTTGTAGTACAAAATGAGCTTGCTGTGCAACTGTTATGCAAGTGTCCTTCTGTACTGTTTCTGGTCAAGTCCAACTTCTATCACTATTTTGTGGTAGATCCTGACCATACTTAGCGAGTGGAGTTATGCTGAATTTATACAGATTCTGCTGAGAACCAACTGGGTCTGTTTTATGCTTTCATCAGTGTTCAGTGATTGAGACCTGAGTCCAGTTGCATCTTTTCAAGCAGTGGCTGCAGACTGATCAGCAGTCTTGTGTTCCAGCAGATACTGTAAGCTGTTACCTGTTGTCAAAAGCACCAGTCCTGTCTCTCCAGTTCTCTTCTCTGGTGTTCTAACAGCTGACAGAGTTCTCAGGCATAGCTGGTTCCTAATTTGGTTTACTGTGCAAATGCTTTTCAAAGCAAACTGGAGTAGTGGAAGAGCAGGATTCCTGCCTTAAGGCAGGGCAGACCTGCCTCAAATAAGCCCTTCTAAAGAACAAAATTATCTTCAGAATTTCTGCAATAGTTTATACACAGACTGTACAGTGTCAGTGAGTTTTAACTCAAAGGCAAGCTGGAGTGTTTTTGAGAACTGTCAGTCATCCTTACATGTATGTGGGAAGAACTAGACAAGTAAAGGCTTCTACTTTTCTCATAAGAAACGCTTTCTTCATTGTTACTATTGAGCGATAATGTATGAAACTTATAGTAAGAATTAGAAATCTTCTTGCCGGTGTAGCACTCTTAGTTTCATATGCTGTACTAATGGTTAGAAGCACTAGTCATTAGAAAATAAATATTAGATTTCAGCCACTTCCCCACTCCCTGTGCCCCTTACTCCCCCCACCTTGGGTGGCTATGCAAGCTTAAGGAGTGTCACTCCACTGTCTCTTCACTTCACATGGCTATTTTAACATGGATCTATTTACTGTGCTGGTCTACCATATGCAAACAGTTGTTGTCGTGAGAGTGGAAACAAATCTGCCTTGAGTTGGTGCTGTTGCAGTGAAAGGTGTTGGGAATTGTACCCAGATTTCTGCTACTGCGAACTACCATAGTGCTCAGTTGTTGCCATGAGAGTGGAAACAAATGACTGTGGCCACTGGTGCAAGATCTGCCTTACGCTGGTGCTGTTGCAGTGAAAGGTGTTGGGAATTGTACCCAGATTTCTGCTACTGCGAACTACCATAGTGCTCAAATGAGGAGTTTTAGATAGCAGCTTCATTTGTAAGAATGAAACAAAATCTTGAACCCTTGCTCAAAGTGGGATTTATGCTCAGACTTGTCAGCCTTCCTCTGAAATTGATATTTTTTGCCTCATATGCCAGAAAGGGAAGAATTAAATGTTATTGTAACATGACATTGAGTATTGTGCTTGTCCTTTCAGTTGCTTATACGATAAATTAGGCTTCAATGCTTTAATAACAACATCTGGTGTAATATTGGAAGAGCTGCTTGACAACCCTTGTTTCCAAAGGGGAACTTTCTATATGTCCCATGTAGAAAAGATGTAAAGACAACCAGAGAAGGCATAGTAATGTTCAAATGTGATCAATATTCGTATGTGTAGCATTAGATTTTGGGTGGTTGTTATTATGTCAGTAAAGGTATTTTAGTAAGAGAACCTGCTAGGCTGTAGTCCAGGCAGGACTGCTTTACTTTGTGGTTTCAAGTTTTTGTCAACCAGAGCTTTTGTTGTGCTGCCAGTTTCTCAGTTACTTGAGTTAATGTTACAGAGTGTATTTTGAACACTTCGTTCCTTTCTTACGCGTATTCAAATTTGTAGAGGGTAAAATATAAAATAGCGGAGATCTTTATCTTCAACCACACTTTTTAAAACAGAAGTGTTAAAGCCACTGTCACTCTACCTAGTGCTGCTGGAGAAATATCATACTTGAAGTAGATTGAGCATAGCTGATTTTTTTTTTTCTTTTAAGCACTTCCTCTCACCCAAAAAAACACTATTTGTTCAGATTAAAGGAGTGAAATGAGACACTTGTAATGAAATTGCTAGCTGGATGGTAACTCTGTCTAGGAGCAATATACAGTTAAGCTTGTGTAAAAGCAAAACTTAAAGCAAGTGTAAATCTACTGCATGCATATGTTCAATGAATTTTGTAGTGCAACAAGGAAGCATGGGCTTAAACATCTTAACCCAACCTGAACAGCAAAGTTAAACTTCAGCTTTGTTTTCAAAGAGACTGTTGGTGCATTTCAGAGCCAAGGTGCGATAACTGAGAAACTGAGAAGTTTCAGTATGCATGATTTGACTACTATCCAAGGAGATGATCCAGTAGGACAGAGACCCTATCAGACGTTACCAGAAGCAAAAAAGAAAACGAGAGCCTCTGCAAGTGAATCTTCAGGTAGGTGTCTATCTGGGTTTTTTCCTAGCTAAAAAAGCAATTCATTGAAGGCAAAAGTGGGAAAGCAGAAATACATTTACCACATTTAGAAATGGAAAAGGCCTCAAAGAATTCCAGTGCACTTCATCAGGGTTGACTTGAACAAGATACATTATAACAGTTGAGAAATGCTCCCTTAATTGTGTTCTTCTTGCAGCTGCTGGCAGTGCAGTCATACTGTACTCATTACTCCTGTCTTTGCCAATTAGCAGTGAGAATTCCTTGCCAAAGTAAAGCTTTATTGGAAGAAAAAATAAAACGTGCATAAGTGGTGTTTCTGTGATGAATGTACAAAAAGTTAAACATGATCATTTATGGAAGCTCAATAAATAGGAAGAGAAAATGAATGGAAATCAACTTGGTAGATCTGTAATGATATTTCAAAACGTAAAATTGCTTGTGGTGATAAGCAATGAAGGCATTAGGTTGTCATAGTGTACTGATGCACAGCAGCACTCAAAAGATGGTGTGTGGTGACCAATACACAGTTTTGCAGAAATGCTTTATTATTAGTCTTTTTATTATATATTATATTATTAATTAAATTTGTTCTCTAGCCTATGATGCTTGAAGGAGGGTTTCAGTGGAAGGCTGCGAATTGCACCTTTTAAAGTGGTTAGACTACAATGTGAAGGGGTTGGTACTTCACACAAAAGAAATACCTCTGGTCTATTTCTTGTCTTTTCACCTAAGCCTGTCATTTCTTCTCATCTCTCCATTCTGGGGAGGGGTGGTGCTTGTGGAGTACAAGGAATTCCAGGAATTGCACAGTAGCCCGTGGTGTTTCTGAGGAGTAAACAGCCATGTGAATGGCCCTGAGCAGAGTTGCTAATTGAGCCCAGAAGGTATCCTGTGCAGGTCAGCGTAAGGCCGGGGAGGAGAGGGTGAGATGGGTGGGTACTGGTCAGAGAGAAAGCCCATCAATTCATCAAGGGGTGGTGTCACTGCAGCGCTTGTGCAGGGGCTATTCCTCAGTAATAGAGCATGAGTTACCTATCAGAAATAGCTTGGAAATGTTCAAAATTCCATTAAAAAATGCTCAGGTGCAGATTATACTGTGTGAATAACCGCTGATTGTGAGAGTCAGTCTCACATGTCAAAACGCTTTCATGGAGCTGGCTGAACTTGATTGTTTCTACTTCCAGACTCAAATCTAGTGTACACATCTGTTTTACTGGAAACTTCTTCAGCATTAGAGATTTAAAAAAAAAATCACTGAATTAGCAACACTATGTACCAATATTTCATAGCACTCACTAGAATGTGATTTTATATGATCTGAGCTGGGAGCCCTGTGCAAATCAGTTGAAAAGATCTAGTTGTAGAAGGACATGGATCATAGGATGACTGAGCTGTCAGTATGCTTGCTGTGAAAAATCAGATGTGATTTTGATGCATCAGAAGAGGTGTTACAAATAAGAATAAGGAAGTATCCGTGTCACTGCAAACATCCCTAGGCAGAAACTATGAGTAACAGATGTGATCCATACGTTTTATATTGAAAAAGATGGATTGAAACCGTATTGGAGGCAGAGATGTGTCCTCTAAACTGGCCGAAGAGGCAAGTCTGCTTTAAACAGCTGTGGAGTAGGTGAGTGTGATTCCAGTTTCAGGAAAAAATAAAATGACCGCAATAAAAGAATCAATTTAAGCCTAAATAAAATACTGGCTTAAGATGAAATGTGCATTAGTCATGAATAATGGTGGGTTTAGAGTCTAAAAGGTGTCTCTGAGTGTTACAGCTTGTAGGTTCTGGAATGGCCTCACAAACAGAGCTTGGCGGGCTTTATGATAGGTCTGTGGTGGGGATTTGGGTCTCTTGGACCCCAAGGCTCTCTTCAGCTCATGGTTTTTAAGCAGTTTGCACCCTCTAGTGAGAATCGGTGGTAATAATCTTGGTCCTGTTTTTGCTGGATGTAAGCAACCCTTAACAGCGCTTTGATGTTGTGTCTATGTGAAAGGAGCTTTGGTATTAAATATGCAGAGAGGTATGCAAGTATGAAAAAAGATCCTGTGAATCACAGAATCATGAATGGTTTAAAAAATCATCTTGTCCAACCTCTCTTTCGTGATTATCGCAGTTCAGTGTAAAGCAGAAGATGATAGCAGATTGATAGCAGATTGACTTTTGACAATTAAGGTACCACTGCATTGCATATCTGTGGAATGAAATGGGTTGTTACTTTGAAATGTAAGAATTCTAAGTAACAAGCCTCTGGCAGACTAGATGTTTTGCTGTTTTGAAACAGCAGACAGACTGACCATATCATTTAAAAGAATAAAGGGTGCATGTTAAAGGTAAAACTCATGGCTCTCTTAGAAATCTAAACATTACAGATATTCCTTATTAAACATTTTTATAAAACTTCTTTTTAAAGGTTACAAAACTCCACTGGAAAAAAATCCTGGAGATGATAAAACAGATGAAGAGATGGAGGGGATGCATTCAGAAGATGAAGTGTTTGCTCAGAGAGGCCTTCGAAGAACTCAGAGCATGAAATCTGTGAAAACTATTAAAGGCCGTAAAGAGGCAAGTATAATCTTAGTTAAATATTGAGCTTGTTTTTCACAGTGTACCTTGGCATTTTTAACAATACAGTAATTTATTTATTTTCTTAATCTTAGAGAGGTTATCAGTGATAACTGGGTTGTAGAATGCTAAATGGAGAAGGAAGTATGTGAGAACAGTATCGAAGCCTGGAGCTTTTGTACTTTAGGATGTTCAAGGGAAATACATGAACAAAATGCATTAAGCAAGGAAAAAGAGAGAGGAGGTGAAATAGAATCTGTGCTTGTAATGCTAATTCTGGCACCACCAAGCCCAAATTCCAGGAACTGCTCACCTTGAAAGAGGTGTAGATAGCGGTATTGTCATCTGCATTCCCCTGTCTTTGTGGTGCACACTTTAATCCATTAAACAGCAGATGTTTAAGATACAGAATTTTTTAGTTCTCGCAGAGGAAATGTAACCCACAAAGGGAAGATCCTATGTAGGATTTGAAGTCGTTTATATTTGCCTGTGTCACAAAATTTAAAGGTACTTCAGGATAAATCTTTATGGAATCTCATACAAGTTTTTGGGTAGTTCTGGGAAAACAGTTGAGACTTACCCTTCTTGCCCAATTCTGTTGAAATTTTATCTCATTAAGTCATAGATAGAATCTTACTGCAACTGTGGAGTGTCCAGAGCATCTTTAAATGATGCTTACTAGGTTGTACTAGTGGAAAGGTATTTCTGCCTGAAGCGATCTCGACTCTTTAAGTTATAATTTATTTTTTTTCCCCTCAGATACGGTATGGATCACTGAAATACAGAGTCAAGAAGAGACCCGCTGTTTACTTCTAAGCGTATTGCACAATGCCTGCAAGACAAACTGCTGTATTATAATAACTTGAATTCAGTGCGTCAAGTGTTAAAGATCTGTGTGTGATTCATATAATGAGTATATATGAACAGATATGATAGGACTTGGTTTTATGAACCTGAGTGGTTGGATAAAGTGTTACTCTGCTTTTCTGTAACTGCTTATTGTTTAGACTTAAATCTGGACAAGTTATAGTATGAATTTCAGCACTCCTTAAATGGGAATTAAATGAGTAACAGGAAACAGCCTTTTTCCAGAGGTACTGGACAGACTGAAGTAATTACAACTCCAGTTGAATTAGCAGAAGTTGTAAGTATTTGGATCTTGTGAAAATTGAACCCACAGTGTCCCCAAGTTTACATGGAAAGATAGGTATACTTGAAATATTTTTCTGAACTACAATTCCTGAAAAGGCCTTTGTGTAATTTAAAAATGTACAGTTTAAAGAACAGTGGATGATGGTGGGGAAGGGAAAGACAAGTTAGATATGGCACATCCTTAAGATCATCTTCTTGCATCATAATGCCAAGCTTAATAAACGTATATAATATTAATAGGTGCAAACTGGGGGTACGTTTAGCACTTTATGCGAAACTGTATAGTTTTGTACACTTACTGATTTACAGCTGCACATGTCATTTTAGTGACTTCTTACACAGGTTAGGCTTATCTTTTGAATGCCAGCAATTCTTGTATTTTATGATCTTTTTTAAAAATTATCTTGATTGCTTAAGTACACTTAGGATACTGTAGATAATTGCTACTAACACTTAACAATATGATCAGGTGCCTTTCTATGTATTACAAGGCTGCGTGGTTTTTTGTCTGTGTGGGGGTTTTTTTGGGGTGTTGGGGTTTTTTGTTGGGTTTTTTTGTTGTTGTTTTGTTTGTGTCTTTCTTTCTTCTTCACCTCGAGAGATGTTACATGATTTAAGTCAGTTTTTCGTTAAAATTGTGGTAAATAAAACTTGTAGCAATTCCAGTGATAGACCTCAGGGATCTGATCAGCCCATCAGTTGTATATTAGAAATCATACTGACACAAAGGCACGTATGATAGATTATTCAGGCCCTGGTTTGGTTTTGCTCTGCATTGCTTTAAGATTGAGTGTATATATATATCTCTATATCTATAGGAACATGTATGTGTGTATATTTCATATCATATGTGGATTCTAGAATATTGGCTGTGTAGTACTTTCTTTTATTGCTAAAGTTACTACTAAAATATTTACATTCAAATAGCTTTTTCTAAAAAAATCTAGCTGATTTAGTCAGCTGTTTTATAACTTGGAGTCCCATGACATAACTCTTTGCACAGATATAATTTTGGAATGTCATTCAAGGCAGGGACCTGTCAAAATGACTTTTTGATGTCCCCTTTGGTTCTGTTCTCTGCAATTCTGAGAATTAGGCTAATTTTAGTTTTCTGTGAGACTATTTCTACTGTGGATTCAGAGAGGAAACGCCCACTTCTTTGTAGATAGTATTTTATTACTTGTCGTAAGGAGGGATGTTGTGCTGCTTTTCTTGAGTGGTGTATGATCCCTCTTATCCTTGGATCTCAGATTCCAATCCTTAGATCTTTTCCCCTGGCTATGACAGTCATCCTCAAGTCTACTGCTGTGCTTTTAAACATGTTCTTGAGGTTTGGGTCTGCTACAGTTCTTTTTCTTTATATTACAGCTATAGCGGGTTCACTGCCGTAGGCAGTTAATGGCCTGTTAATATATACTGGCATTTGAAGTAGCCTTCCATAGGCTTTGGTCTGAGGTTTTAACTGTGTGGCTAAAAATGCAGCTGGTCTGTATTGGCATCGCGTTACTCACTTGCTGTTGTAGGCTTTGTGAGCCAAGTGCAAAGCCTTGGTCAAATACAGAAATGCTGATGGCGCAGTGCTTTTAGCGTTTCTGAGGAAGTTAAATGTTTTGGTAAGAAGTTGCAACAGTCCATACGTGATTAAAAGGCCAAAGCTTTTATTACTTTACTCAAAGATGCAGTTTCATATCAGAAGACAGGAAGGCTGCTCTCTCCCAAATGAGCATAGTGTGAAAATCCCATCCTCTAACCAAAACTGCAACTTGTGATCCAGCTTTTACAAGGAGCTGTTGTCTGTGAGGGAGGTAGCGATCAGAAAGGCAGCATCTCCAGGGCATGGTTCATCACTTGTGCCCCAGGACTGTATGTGCTTCTCATCAGTTTCCCTGCATATAGGGAAAGGCTGGTTGTGTTAAGGTTAGACATTAGAGGAGACCGAGGCTTTTGTGTTTGCATCTTACCCCTCTTTGGAAATTAGACTAATCTGGGCCTTGGGTGGGATCTCTGACTCTTACTTCAGTTGAGCATCCTCCTTGAGTACTTACTCCCACATCTTGCTTTAACTCATCACGTTTGTATTATTGGCAAGAATGGCAATAAAATCACCATTTTTGTACCAACCCAAATCCTGCATGAAGGAGCAGGATGAACCCTTCTTTCTGAATTACATTTCCTGATGCAGGTTCACGTAGAACCTGTTTCGGGGGTTGTGTTCTTTTCACATTTCCAGGGCTAGAGATCATTTGAGTAGTTTAGGCTCTACCATGCCCATGGTCAGTAAGTTGCTCTAACTCTTGTTATGTACTTGAGGCTGTAACTTCTGGCAGACTTGGCTTGCTAATTGAGTAGTGACAGAGGCTAAATAAACTCTCCTTTTTCTGAACTATGCACGGAACTAGGAAAGCTGATGGTATTGTTCATACTCATTACTGTGTGCATATGAATGTACTTGTGGTCGCTCAGAAACTGTCTTAAGTGATAAAACTTCCAGTGTTTTCCTGCTGTTTTTCAGTCTGATATCCTACTATAAAATTCCTTTATTGACAGCTCGATTTTTTCCTTTTTTGAATTCATCCTGAAACTGGTTCATTGTATTATCTTACTTTTTATTTTCCTTGCTGTTGTTCGTCAGCTGATGCTTGGCAGGGCACAATGGGATAACTTTCATCCCAATGATACGTGTTTCTCTCTGCTTGTTTGGTTTGGTTTTAAAATATTACACAATCTTTTAAACTTTGTGTACAGGGAATTTTCAAGCTTTTTTGCCTTAGCAACTGCAAAAATGATTTGTGTAGCTCTTGCCAGTAAACTCCTTGGAAAAATATTAAACAAAAACCAAAATTTAACTTTTTTAATTTTGGAATGTAAAATGTAGTTCATGTCAGATGACAACATAATCTTATGATCAAAGCGTTTTCTGAGCATCGACTGACTGCCACCACCAAGACTGCTCATATAGTTAAAGAAAAACTTACATGGACGTTAAAGGTACTTCGAAAGAGAATATGTATTTCTTGTTACATCATAGGAAGGTTTCAAGTATTTCCAAAAATACATCTAAACTGACTCGGATTTCTCAGCGAGAGTCCATTGTGCACGTTAAAATACAGAGTTTCAGATGAGGATTAAATTGATGGCCTCAGTTGCAAATAAACTTAGGCCAGACTCTCATTACCAGGTCATTGCCAATATTAGCTCCTTAATGCTAATTGCTTTGTTACCCAACATACTTTTTGCAAACTATAGTGAATTTTAAAATGAACAGAAGATAATTTGGTTGAAGAAGGTTGGAGTAAATGCTAGATGCATTTATTACGCTGTTCATGACAAAAGATGCATTTTATTTTTGGTGTTGCTTTTATTAATGGGAAGTTGGTATTTTTAAGTATTTTTCTACAAAAATGTGTATGTGTAAAGGCAATACTTTAACATTTTTCAAGAAGTTGTATTTTTAAATGCTACAGACTAGAGACTGTCTACATGGAAACTGAAGTTAGTAGCTTTAAAAAAAATGCAATGTAAGCTTTAATTTTTATATTGTAATAATAACTTGCTGTCAACTTGTTTACATATTTGTAGGATGGAAAGCTTCATTATGCATTGACTTATCTTGATACTATCTTTAATAAATGCTGCTTTGAGCGGGATGAAGTGGATATTTTATTACCTGAATTATGATTAACAAACCAGTCACTGTAAGCTGTATTCTGTTATTTGTTATCATGATTCCAGTACTGAAACAACGTGTCTGAATTTTGAAGTAACTTTTAAACTGCTGGAAATACGGCTGAACTGTCATTGAGGTTTTTGCCACGGAGCCTGATGCCGATTTAGACTTAAATGAAACTGACCCTGCGAAAGGCAACTTGAAAACGCTTCAGTGTTACCTGTTTTGGTAAGATGTACAGCTAGGAGGCAACTCAAAATAAGATGCTTAGTCTCTCAAAAGAGTATGGCTTCCTGGGGAACTGTTGGATTTTTTCTTTAATTAAACTACTTATAACGGTAGCCTCTCTTTTTTTATTGATGCAGCTTTACTGTTTGTGCCAATGAGCAGATTTTGTTTTGTATTTCCTAGTCAAAGCAGAGTTATTCTAGTAACCTGGAGAAGGAGATGCACAGGTAAACTTGGGCTTTTCCTTTTCTCAGACCTCACTTCAAGTAAGCTGTTAACTCCCCTAGCAAAAAAAACCTCAGCACCCACATTTTCTGGACCTTTTTTGCAAAGCCTCCTGACATACTACCTCAGAGGGAAGAAGTTATGGTTATGATATGGTTAATTGAGGAGAGACTGGAAAACCACTATTTACTGCTCTTGTCTCCTAAGCATTATGAAAGTAGATCCCAGAAACACACGCTGACTGTAAGGGGCCTTGCAGCAATTGAGTTCTTGGTGTCAGAACAGTTCATACAGTACAAAACCCCTACCTACTAAAGAAATCGTGGATGTCAGAAAACTGCTGATTTTTTTTTTGCCTTTATTTGTTCAACTAATCTTTAGCAGGTAGCAGGAAAAGACTATCAGCTAAAAGCTATCTTTGTGCTGTTTAACATGGTGTTGGTGAGTCCTGCTTAGAGAATGATTATCTGGTGATTCTAAAATGGTCCTCGGCTCAGGTGTGGAAGATGGAGCAGATGCAGCAATGGTGACAGTTTTATGGGGATTTTTTTTTAAAGGTACCTTAAGTGTTGTGTATTTTCCACGCTAAGATAGAAAACAGATGATTGAACATGAGGGGGAACCTAGTAGGTTTTGTAAAAGCAGGAGAGTTCCAAAATTATTTTCATCCTTTCTGTAGATCTGTTCAGGAACAAAGTGGGACCCTCTTGTTTATGTCTGCCTGCCCGTGCCAAGGTTCAGCAACAGATTGCTCTGTTTGAACTAGGGTAGCAATCATGAAAGCAGCTGGAGCAGAGACTAT